AAAGTGATTACACTACACTTTGTCCCTCCTCAGTTATATAGTATTCTAACAATTCAGGCAATTTCTCTGTTGTGAAGAGAAAATAGATTGGGATGTCAAACACATCTGCAAAATCCAAACTTCACTAGGTTGCATAAAAGAATGTAAAAATATAAAAATGCTGTTTGAAATCAGGGTGAAAATATGAACACACACAAAAAAGAATGAGTCAATATGTGAGAGATACAGAAATAATATTCCATTCTTGCTAATCCTTACCTTTGCAATATTTTTTATAGGAGTATTTCTAAACTCTTAATGAAATTATTCACAAAATAAGGATTTCTAATGTTGTGCTCTCTTTTTAGATTTTATTTAACTCGCATATTTTTTAATATGAGTTCTGAAGAGACGGGTGTTTTCAGACCAACACACAGAGACCATTGGAAACTAAAGGCACTTGCAGAAAAGGAAAACCAGATAATGCGTGTCATTAGGGAAAAAAAAGAGGTGCTGTGGAAATTGTATGATGCTCGTAAGAAAAAAAAAAAAAAAAATCTATCAAACAAAGGTCAGGGAAAAAAACCCTCTTATGAGGAAAGTTCAGGTTAAATGAATGACAATGATGATGAATGGAAGATTCGATCTAAAGGTGTAGAATGAATAAGGACTCTGGAACAAAGAAGCAGAATCAAACAAAACAGAAGAGTCTTAACATAAATGTTAAATTTGTCTGAAACTAGGGAGGAAAGGAGTCAATCCAGCTGGCAAATTCTGAAACAGGAAGACTGTGGAAAGTGGTATTTTGAAAGAACTGCAAAGAAAAAACTAATGGATGGAATATACCCCAGGGATGTGGTAAGAATGGAAAAGGAGTGATGACAAGAGAATGAAACTTACAGGAAAACAAAATCCATCATCCTATTATCCTGTTCACTATTTGAAGCTTTCTGTTGTCACATCCAGTCACCTGATTATAAAGTATTAGGTACAAGTAATTTGATATATCTTAGATGGGATCTCTCACACACTATGGGCTATATTAACAAATAATGAAAATGAATGGGTGCTTTATTGTTTCTGGAAGACATACCTCTAGTTTACATAATGAAAGCAAATAAATGAATAGTTTGTGTTTAAGCATCTCTTAATAAAATATTATGCTCAACCACAAATGTATTATATGACCTGACAAAGCTACCTGATGTAAATTCTATAAATATAAAAGTTTAATATAGCAGTGAGATTGCTTTGGAACTAGTCGCAAAGGAGCACCGTGTTCCCTATTTAAAGTATAATATCTTTATAAAGTATTAAAGTACACTACAGCTCTGTCTGATTTGGGAATAAACATCACCCGGACACCATCTAAACCTTACCAGCTATTCCAATCCTTCGTTGGCTACTGGCAGGGCAAAAGGAAAGTTATTAGATTATCATGTTATGAGGTGACAGCAGAAAGTGACATAACTGTGTCACTATGAGTATAGATGTTCACAAACCCCCATGTAAGTCTGTCAGACCCAATTCTATAAATCTAAGCTTGTTTTTCCTCTGCCATGTTTTACATTACCCCGTTTCTTGATCTTTTTGGCCTTAAATTCTGATGTCATTGTTATCTTAAATCTCCATAAAACTGCCTTGTGATGTCTTTCAATCTTATTACCTTGTCCTTGTTCTGTATTTTACTTTGATAGAATTAATACTGATAAAATACTAAACTGAAATTTGAAATCAGTTCAGTTTATAAAAGAGTGCATATGATCCTAAAGACACCTATCTATCTTTTCCTTCCTTCCTTCCTTCCTTCCTTCCTTCCTTCCTTCCTTCCTTCCTTCCTTCCTTCCTTCCTTCCTTCCTTCCTTCATTTCCCTTTTCTTTCTCTCTTCCTTTCTTTCTAACTTCTCATTATCACTTCTTTTGCTCTTTACCCCTTCTATCTCTTAATCATTTTTTTTTACATCTTTCCTTTCTTCTTTCTCTCCTCCTTTCTTTCTCTTTTTTTTCCTTTTCTTTCCTTCTTCCCTTCCTCCCCCCGTCAACTTTCTCTACATCTTTCTTTTTCTCTCTTCCTTTCCTCTTTACCCACTTTTCTTTCTTTCACGTAACAACTCTATGTACAAGTATGTACTACTTGACTGGAGCAGTCAAGAACAGTTAATAGCTGGGATGTCCTTTGAGGTTAAATTGTAGTGATATTTGAAGTCACTGGCACTCTACAGAGAAAAATCTATGTTTTTAAAAGATAGATAATTACTTGACAATCATGCAGAACTAAGAAATATAGTTCTGCTTCCATGACAATAACTCCCCAAACTGCAAAGGTCGCTTACTCAATATCCTTGCTTTATGGCAAAATATGAGAATGACACCAAGACTCAAAAACTCAACTTCATATCAGCCTATTGTTTGGTATTAACATTCATGTATATTTTTGTAGTTTTTCATAAATCCTATCGTGCATTATTGTCATTAAAAAAAAAAATACAAGACTTACTCTTGCTTTGTTCTTAAAAGAAAAAAAAAAGTTCATATAGAGCCCATTTACATGGCTCTAATACAGCTAAAACTAAAATTAAAAATGAATGGGAGTTCTATATTAGTAAGTGAATAAGAGGACCTTGCACAGAAGCAAAGGTAGCAGCACTAATTACAATCAGCTTTCACTGACCCTTACTGCTTTTTCTTGTAATTTCCCTCTCTTTTTGTGTAATTATTCCATCAACTGCAAAGAGTTCAAAGCTTTTCTATGTTAATTCTATTTAAATTATTCATACACATTTAACATTTAAACATAATCTTTATATGGTTATCACGATATAAGCAAAAGAACATAATCTAGCTAATGCACTGATTAACGATTTCCCAGAAATTTGTGACATCTGTCATACCTGAACTTCTGAGAGTGGAACCTTGGATCCCTTTGCAACCTGCTCAGAACTTTTTCTGTGAAAACTACCTCCAAAAGTGAGTCAAGCATGTCTGTATTCTTTTTAACCCTTTTAATTCCTATCAGGATGTAAATATTGTGTGACTGCATACTTGAAAACAGATTCTTAGGTACTATTCAGAGAGTTTTTAATGGCAAACAAATCTCATCAGTAGTCAGTATAACATCTCAAAACCTGGAGTTTTCCATTATTTCATGAAAGAAATGAAGAAATCGATCAACACCTAATAAATGTCATACACATGTAATAATCAGTTATGAACTGATCATACTAATTAGGACAAAATTCTGTTCAGTACCACGGACAAGTACAGTCAAAACACAGTGTCCAAAATAGTGAGTACATCTTACTTAAAGAACATGTTTCATTAAAAAATATATATGTACCGATAAGCTCCTGCTCTTCTATAATAGAATTCTATGTCCTAAATATTGATAAATTCTCACGACCTAACATGTTGAAATCATCAAATGTTAAAATGATGTGGCAAAAAGAATGAGCATCAGAAAGCACAGGACTTTGGAACTGGTTAGCATTTATAACTGGTTCCTTATGTTAGCTTGTCCCTTCAGTTTGTCACCAACAGAAGAAAGTAAAAACCAAAAAAATCCAGCAACCTAAAAAGCAGACTAAAATCCCCAAAGCTCTTGTCACTCCTTTTTAGCATAACTTGCCCTTACAAGTGGTATGAAATATTTACAATGCACTATATTTATCTTCATTTGTTATATCATGCTGAAGATAAAAGCCCAGTGTAAAAAGTGGTGGCATTACACAATCCTTTTATCTTTTCCAATATTTTGTATGTCCATTTCCCAAGTAAATTAAATTGCACATAATAAATCAACTTTTTCATAATAGTTTAAGAGCGTACTTTCATTTTGTTAAATTAAAAAATTATACATATTTCATAAATCTCAACAGTCCCAAAAGATATGGTGAAGTGTTTGATTAATAAAATGAAGGGCTTTCCCTATATGAAAGTAAAAAGTTTGACTGTTAACAACTATAGTTATTAAATAATTTAAAAAAATTCTACAGAATCAACAATTTTCAGTTTCATAGCTCATATTTTACATCTCAAAATAAGCTTCTTAAATTAGTCAGCCTTCTAAATCCCTGTTAGAACTACAGACAAACACATTTACAACCTGGTACACCAAATTAGCTGCTACAACATGACTCGTATGAGTAAGAAAGTTTAAAAAATAATACTACAACCCACCTTTTCAAAAAACTCAGCTGAGATCTGTCTAATTCCAACAACAGCACCTTTACATTTCTAATGCTCTTCAAAAACAAATTGTCATTAGAATTATGTTTCAAGACATGAGGTTGATTTGTCGAATAGATGTCTCACATTTCCTCAGATCACTTTCCAGAATCTGTCACAGGTCAGTGTAGCAAAACGCACCATTTACTTGGGACCAAGTTATAGTTATATAGGAATCAAAGGAAATCTATCCAGACTCTTAAGTAACATCAAGAACCATATTTGTGAAAACTAAGGTATCTATGCTTGCTTTATTTTCATAAAAGTGAATGACTTTGTAATATCCAACTTCATACCCAGTCTACATCAATATATCACTTCAAACAAAATGGCAGATCTGCATCCCTTTATGCATGATCTCCTTAAAATATTGCACCTGGGTTGTCCTTGTTGTTACTTCAGCAACACTGTAACAAGTCCTGCCAGCAAATATATTGCACTATTAAAAAGCCACTGATAACTCACAGATCTTCATAAAATATTCACATTTCAAAAGCCAAACCAAAATTAAATGTTAGAGCAAATGGCAAAGACACCAAACAGTTTTTCTCAATTTATCCATAGCTTTGGGTTTGGGTTACTTTAACTTCAGCAACGTTTTTAACTCAACTCCATATGTGAAACTCTTAGAAAGAAGTGCTGAACTGCACTCATGAAGTTCGGTAGCAAAAAAAACTACCCTCTCATTTTTACTATCAATATACATATACACATATATATTTTAAATCTTGCATTTTTCCTTCTTGCAAACCCACTTGTTGGAATGTTGGCTGTAACCAAATGCCAGCTGCACTTACCCCAGTGTTGTCATGGTGACAATGGTGTACCAGAAGGCTGCGGGGATGCTGGTGAACTTGCTGGCTGATGAACCTTTCTCTGCATAGTACATGACTGTGGCAAAGATTATGATGGCCATAGTAAGTGAGAAGAGGAGGAAGCCTAACTCCGAGGCACAGCTTTTGAGGGTGTAGCCCAGGATGCGCAGCCCCTGCGAGTGGCGGGAAAACTTAAAGATCCTGAAGACACGAAAGACTCTTAGTGTCACAAAAGCCCCACTGACGTCCTCATTATCTGTCATCACCAGGCCAATGTAATATGGCATGATAGCTACCACATCAATGATACTCATGACGCTGCGCACGAATTTGTAGCGACTCGGAGCTGCCAGCAGGCGTAGGAGATATTCAACTGTGAAGATCATGACACAAGCAGTATCCAGACAGAAGAAAGCCACGGCATAGCGCTCTCCACAGGGCAGCTCCTTGATGCGACCCGGGCTCACCCCGCAGGGCACTGTCTCCACCACATTGGCAATAACAGAGACAGCAATAAAGAAACCAGTGACATAGTAGAAGACTAGAGCCAGCGTACTGGTGTGTGGGTTTTCAAAGGCCCGCCACATCCTCTGCCGAGCTGTCATTGAGGGCAGGGAGCTCTCAGCTGCGTGGTCCTGGTCAGCATCGTCCTGCAGGCGCTCAGCGTTCTCACGACGGCGATCCTTGTACTCCTCATAACAGCAGTCACCAATGATCTCCGGGATGATGCCAAAAAAGGCCAGCTCCTCATCGTAAGCAGAGATGCACTCCTGGCGGGGGTAATGGAGCTTCCCAGTACGGTAGAAGTTGAGAATGTGACGGAAAATGTCAGGGTCCCGATCGAAAAAGTACTGCTGTGTCTCAGGGTGGTAAAAGAAGTCCCGCTCCGAACTGCCCAGCAGAGTGTCAGGGTAGCGCTCCAAGGTGTCCAGCCATGTCTGGAACTGGATGCCACTCACATTCAGCACAATCAGAGAGTCTTGGCTTCGCTTCCTCTCCTGCCGTGGAGCAGCTGGCATGGGACCTGTGGCCACTGGCATCCATCCTATGGCTGCTGCCCTGGCAAAGGGTAACCAAGCTGCTACACCCGCTGCCATGATCCCAAACAGTGACTACAGCTGAGAGAGTGAATCTACAGACAGTTCTTGTCCGGCCACTAAAATACAAAAGGAAAAGAAAAATACAAAAGTTCACATATTTTCAAGGCTCCTGAATTTTCAAACATTGCTGTGATTTTCAGAATTAACCAGGCTGTCTATTTAATCCCTCCCC